TTCTTGCTGGGTATAGAGCGCAGTGGGGTAACTGTAGCCAGCACCTTCAACAGATGCACGCGCTGCTGCCAGCCGCAGCAAAGTACGCGTACTTCTTATGTGACCACATTGATTGCTTACATGGGACAAGGTTGAAGACATGTTTTGCCAGCATAAAGATCTTGCAATTACTGGCTCTCTGGTAAACCACAGGTTGCCAGAGAAGTGACAGTAATCAACCCTCACAAAAGCAAATAGCCAACTCCCAAAAGTGAATGGAGCTCAATAGATACCATTCGATTCTGACTGCCACGAATCTTTTGCACTGTATCTTTCGAAAAAAAGTCATGTATCGGAGTTATCTGAAAAATTATTGCTTAGCAATACAATCTCTTAGTTTTGGACGCAACTCTTACCACATGAATGCTCACAACATCACGACATATAATACTAGAAGGGGGCAGAAGAACTCCCCCTCCCCCGACGGATTTTTTCCAACTGAGATTACTTCGTATGTGAGTAGGAAAGAACAACCCGTGCATTTTGGTTTGGCTGGTCAAATTACCCAGCTCCTCAAAGACTGTTTGAAACCTCTATGTTACAGAAAATGTCCTTCCGCGTACACAAACATGTTGCGTCTTAAAATGCTACGTAAGGTTATTTCATACATTCAGGGTACTGCCTCGTAACATTTGACCAAAAAATCGCAAAACTGTCCGACAGGGAAATTACTGATGTTTTTCAGTCAAATTTTAAAAACTGAGATTCCTCATTTAAAAAGTGCAGCCAAATCTGTATGATTTGGCTGCCAAAACTTTACCAAATAAATGCCAACTACCGAGTCATGACCAAATCATTTTCAAAAATGATGGGACACCGAATACATTTTCTACAATTTTTGTGATAATTAATTCTCAATTTGGGGTCCTTATTCTAATACCTTTGTTCTGTCTTATTCAAGGTAACTTGTAATTTTATTGTAAAAGTAACTTGCTTTGCATAAAACGCCGATCCAGTACCCAAAACACATTCCAAAGCAATTTAAATAATGCACAGCTTTGATGTCCACTTTACACGTGAAACTGATCAGGACACCAACATGTCCGGAGATTAGTTAGACATTTCGTTCTTTGCTACCAGTATTCAGGTTCAAGTGCTATATTTTGAGCCACTTAAAATGTTTGTATGCGTGTCACTCTTGGTAATAATGGGCAAACAACTACCACAAGGACGAAGACAAAAACTCTTCCACCCCCGCATTAATTTTGATGGAATCGTCCATATTTTAAGAATATGACTGTGAGGTGCGCGCAGTATCCCGACAGCTGGAGTGAAAATTTACAAACTTACTGTGGAGATAATTATTCGAACCTCCGCCACTTTCTTCGTGGTGCGTCTGTATAGCCACATGACCAACTCGGTTCAGCTGGTTGGTGTAGTATAAAAGTTGGACGTAAAAAGTGAGTCATGGACGATTCTGTGCATGGCTGTGTGCGCGGACCAAAGACAACATGCACATGTAACTGGCACGCGGTAGGGTAGTCTGGTATCCGGTTCGTGACTTCGTCACGCACACACACAAACACACGGACGCGCCACAATTTGCGGGCTCCCATTGGACGATCGCAGAAGTTGCGCGTTTAACTTCCGGTTCCATTTAACTTGAAACGGCGATAATCAATGCATGTTTCATAATACGTAAGCACAGACATGGAGTGTGCAGCGCAAGTGCAGAGGGCGTGGTTTAAATTGAAGTGACGTCACACTTGCGAGTGGCTTGACGGGAAACAGACCGGATTTCACGGGAGGTAAACCTTCATACGACTCGGACCCTCAGAAGGTAAAATTTGACATTAGAGAAATCACGAATTCAAAACATTTTACTAAAATCCTTGACATCAGACCTTTGTGTTTTAAATAACGTTACTTTCAATTTTTGTTTTGCTACTTTTATTGTGCCAATAAAATTTGCATATTCATGAGCAAAATTTTAATTCAATCTGAGGCACTGAACCCCACTGAATCTTTTACTCGTCCAAAAAAAAGATTGCCAGATTTTTAACATTTTGCTAGCAAATATTTCCATTCCCGTTGGCAATTTATTTTTGCATATGTACGTGGCAATAAACCGGCGAGAAACCTTTTCTCAGCAATGCTTAAAAATCGAATTTGGTTCTCAAAAATCGAATATTAAAACATTCAAACTGAGGTGTCGCCTGGATTTACATCACACTGCCAGCGCCCTAAATTGCTTGGAACAGATTGGTCAATTTTGAATGTTTAAAAAGTGTATTTACAGTTCACTTCACACCCCGAACATTTCAAACAGCTTTCACACATTGAAGAAAAGTTTAAAATGCACGGAAAGAATTTAAAAAAATTTTCATTGCAGTGTTCATTTAAGATTGGTTGGGCTGATTTTAAGAACAACCCCTCCTTCAAAATTAGTTTCAAGGAGATACAATGTACTTTACTTTTTTAGATTTCCCCGGTTGCTTTGGCATATTGCCTGCAATAAAACAGAGACCTTCTCATGGTATATTATAGAAAACAGGATCATGACATTGGCCTCGGACATAAATCAACAGAACAATGTCTTTCAAACGTCTGTCTCTTGTTTTATTCAAACTTAATTTTGAGAAATGCCTCTTCTGCTTTAACAAAGGTTACCTTTCCCGGATTAGGATGCACATTGATAAACGTAAATTAAATGACTTTCCAGAGTGCCTCGAATGTAATGAGTTACCCATAACCACAAACGAAAAGTTACTCCATGACAAAATTACTACTTCCTAACATGTGGAGTTTTAGGCACAATTTGCCAAGATGGTGAGGGGTCCACCTTAAGTTTGTTCTTGAGCAAGATATTTGACAAGAATGACTGCTTTACAACTGGGCCCATCTTCAAACATGTCAGGTTCAACACTTCTCTTCACAGATGTGTACAACTGCAATTTTACTCCAAACGGCACTGGAAACGGAATCATGAGGTGGCACTTTAGAGGGCTTGTACTGTTAATGGAATAAACTACATGTGATTTAAGTTGAGAAACAATTCCCTAGCTCCCTTGAAAACTGACATCTAAGCCTAAGTTAATTGGGATTTGGTCTCTGTGACCACTGTGTAGGTCAAAGGTCACTGCGTCCCAGTTGAGAAAAGAGCCAGCAGACCTCCAGCAGCGCCAATGGACACAATGTAGTTGCTGTGGGGCAAAAAGTTAAGGAAAGACACAAAGAGAGATGAGGTCGATCGGTCGATCGATCGATCGATCGATCGATCGATCAATCAATCAATCAATCAATCAATCAATCAATCAATCAATCATCAAAATGTCTAAGGTGCCTATATCCACAAAAGTGACCAGAGACACCGTGAGTGATTATAGTGGAATAGATCCATGAGAGGGACAAACTGCTACTGAAAAGGAAGGTTTTCAGTCTTCCCTTGAAAATAGTGACGGAGTCGCTTGCCCGAATCTCTAATGGCAATTTGTTCCATAAACGTGGAGCGGCACAGGCAAAGGCCCTGTCACCATGGGAAGCTGTCCTACCACGCGGTTGTTCCAGCAGCAGTCTGTCCGAAGAATGCAAGGTACGAAATGGGGAGTACAGTTTCAACAAGTCTCTGAGGTAAACAGGTGCAGTGCCTTGGACACACTTAAATGTCAGAATTAGTATTTTAAATTCTATCCTCTTCTGCACCGGTAGCCAATGACGGTCACGAAGGATGGGTGTGATATGATCAAAACGACGACTCCCACTGACCAGCCTCGCAGCATAGTTCTGTACTCTCTGCAGAGGCGATGTCATTGTCTGAGGGAGGCCAGGGAGAAGCACATTTAGACCATCCAACCTTGATGTGACAAAAGCATATACAAGGGTAGCAGTGGCATCAGTTGTAAGGAACTTTCTGATTTAACCAATGTTTCGAAGATGAAAGAAACAGGATTTGCACACAAGTCGGACATCCTGTGTGAACGACAGGTGCTCGTCGAACCATGCCCCAATAGTATGAGCAGAAGGCGCAGGGGCAATCACGTGGTCCCCGATCTTGATAGATGTTGGATGGTCAGCAAGACGTCCTCCAAGGTGTTTCGAATGAAAAAGCAAAAATGAAGAAGCAAAACCTCCGTTTTTTTCTCCGAGAGCTAGAGGTCAAACATAAAAATGCAAACACTATTCACTACTGCCGTCACCTTTCCCGTTTAAAGGATACACAGATGGGTCCAATGACTTCAGGATGAAGAACGACAAGAAGAGGACCAGGAGTAGATAGAGGGCATTGTTGTAGAAAATTGCAAAGGTCGTGGCCTCATAGTCGGCGACCTCGTTCTTCTTCCACAGAATCCTGAATAAGAAAATGCAGAAGGGGAAGACGTGTACAAAGAGTCATTCGACCGGTATAACCTGTCTCCCTGTGCATGTTCCGACGATCTCAGGCAATGTGCTCAGCTGCCTCAATGGAAGTTTGAATATTGGGGTGCAGCAAGTCCTAAAGGAAGACACTTTGCTGTGAAAACTTCTCTTCATCCTGAACCGAAGGTCACAGTGCTTTCGTACTGTGCAGAACCCTGTGATGCACAGAGATCGCATCCGGGCAACGGGGTGCGAGTTTCCCTGCTTAGTTGCAATCAGAACCTCATTTCTGACAGCAAGACACTCCTGCAAAAATTGGAAGCAAACACACAAAAGCAATGGGACCTGCATCCACGGGGTGGCCACCTTGTTTTTCTGGCATCGAAACCAATGTAACCAAACTGAGACTATAAACATGATAAAGGTGAACAAAGAAATTGACTGGAGTAGGACTTGAACCTGCGGCCTCTGGATTACCGTACCAGTGCTCTACCAACTGAGCTACCCAGCCCGATGTTAGTGGCTCTTCCCATTTGTCAATATCTCTGTTCGAGGGGGCGCTGAGACTAGACGAAAAATAGTCTGTTCCCTTTAACCCTGACAATCCCTAACCAGTTAAACTTCAACACCAGTAAGGTGTTTGAATTTGTGGAATAGGGCACTGGGAACTTGCTATATGGTGTGGGATTTTGACTAAATAGGCACCGTGGGCCTGCACTTACCCTGTTGAATTTTGACATAATGGGTACTGCGGCCCTCTCACTTTTTTACCATCAGGAATTTTAAATGAGGGCAGATTACACTGTATCTACAATTATCTCGGTACTGTATTTGTAAAGATAATGTAATGATACATAGCTTCCCATTGAAATGGTATGTAATAAGTATTATGTAATAATTACCATAGCAAGGACAAATGCCATTAGCTCACCACAGTGATCCCAGCAGTTGGGGATGGATATGCAGAATGATGGTGTGTAAATTTGTTTGATTAGGTACCTTTGCAGCAAGAGTGCTGGTGGAGTTTGTTTGATTAGGTACCTTTGCAGCAAGAGTGCTGGTGGAGTTTGTTTGATTAGGTACTTTTGCAGCAAGAGTGCTGGTGGAGTTTGTTTGATTAGGTACCTTTGCAGCAAGAGTGCTGGTGGAGTTTGTTTGATTAGGTACCTTTGCAGCAAGAGTGCTGGTGGAGTTTGATTAGGTACTGTTGCACCAAGAGTACAGTTGGAGTCTGTGATTGGTTACTGGAAGGTAGAAGTTTGATTTCAAAATGTTGGAGTTTGTGTGATTAGGGTGGGATACCACCAACAGTCCTTGGGCAGTTAGGGTTAATCAATATCTTTTAAGTTGTATTACTTTTGTCATCTGGTCTACATAGAGCAAGACAAAATTTGCAGCATCACGTTAAAGTTCTATAGAATGGAGGAGGATTTGAAGAGCTGGGCTAACTCGCCTCTCGTCTTTCTCCTTGCGAGAGATCTTCTTATTGTCGGCATCAGTCAGCTGTCTCATCACCTCCTTGGACACGGCATCCTCACGTTTCTGGGCAATCCTGAACAAAAGAAACTGAACCATGAGGCAAGGAGAACCTACTGAACATCTACTCTAAGGGAAAAAAATACAGGATCAAATTGTCAAATCAGGAATGCGCAAGTCAGTTTCAATAGAGAGAGCATAGTCACCCACCCTTACAAAGTTGTTTTTAAAAATCTCAATATTCATAAAACACAGAAACAATCTGTATTTGGGTGGCATGGATGGCTGCTGCATAGAGTGTAAACTGTACAAATTTCACAAGTGTCTCACAATTTTTTTCTGAGCCCTATCCAACACTGTGAAAGTCAGTCATACATAACCAGAGACATGCATCCAAGCCTTCCAAGGTACCACAGGAAAGTCTCTCACCCCTAGGGTGTGATAATTAAGGTCACGATGTGCAAAACTTGGTCATACATGTAGTTTGCCACTGCTGGTTTCCTTTTTTGAGGGACGCAGTGACGTTCTTCATACAGTAAAATCTCGGTAACTCGGACCTCAGGGAAATGGACCCAAAAAAATTAGAGTTAGCCGAATTTCGAACAAACAGACGTTCCCGCGACACGACGTTGTGACATGCCCACACATACGTACACGTAATGTGTACCTAATTGAAATCAACTCTTTGAGGCAATGCTTTTGTGTTATTTTCCTCCTTTGTATGCAGTGATTGGACGGCCTGTGGGCAGGCTATAATTGGGTCCATGGCAGCAACCCGGCTAGCTTGAAAGCCAGGATTTATTCTGCAGCGTGCACATAGTGGTCCCAGTGTGAAAAGACAAAGCGCGCCTTGCAGTGACGACTCGGAAACCTCATTTTGCATCCTTTTAAAACCTACTGAAGGTTTTGGCAGCCACTTTTTGGATAAGCATAAATAAAAACAGATGCAGCTGATGGGTATTTCGAGTTGCAGATGCATTTTTGTATGTATCACAAACATGACAAAAGCCTATTTTTTTGGCAGGAATGAAGTAAGTCTTAGTTACAATGAATGCACAAAAGATTTATTCGAGCCTACATGTATCACAGTGATACAAAGGACTCGCCCTCTAAGGACGCAGCAACCGATAATCTCTACAGAGTACCGAAGTTACTACGTCACACGCCCAGTCTTGTGTGTAAAAGGCATTAACGCGAGAACCAGCGCGTGAACCAACCATTCCAACCCTTTGTTTGTAAGGCATTTACTGGTTCTAAATGACATCACACTTCGGTACTCTATACCACAGGCAAACTACCGCTTTGTCAGATCTGATGACCATGGCAACTCAGTCAAAACCAAGAGTTCTACAATCTTGGAGAATATCCTCACGAGTCACTCAGCTGGGATCAACTTACTTGTGCTTGAGAACAAACTTTACGTTTTTGTAGGCAAAGGCGACCAGCCATGTACTGACGATGGTCATGATGCCAAACAGGATTCCGGACTGGACGAGATCCATCTGGTGCATGCGCCAAAACACCCCTGTCAAAGAAACGACAGTCAATGTCACTGTTTCCTTTTCACCTCATTCAGACTACACCCGAGGGTCATCCGTTGTCCAACGGAGCCCACAGCAGCACTTAAACGGCATCCCCTATATGTGAGCGTGTATATTCTGAGCAACCCCCCAGAGCTAGCGAATGGCGGTTGACTTCAGAAACTCTGACGCTATTCTGAGCAGAAATCTACCAAAGGCTTTTGAAAGGTTGGGGTTAGGGTTATGATCCCATTTCTGGAAACTTACTGACACATTGTTCAATAGCGAGACGCGCACGTAGTGTTAACCACATTAAAACCTGATCCACTCATTTCCAATGGTACTCCAGTTTGGTAGCATTGCACTGAAAGACCAAGTAACAAATATGATACCAAGCCCTCCCTCCCTCCCCCACCCCAAAAAAACCACCCCACAATAAATCATAACGTCACTGTCAGGCCACACTGTGGGTCTTATTTATGAACAAGAAGCATCTATGAAATGCCAACAATACAATACAATATTAACCACTATAAATAGATTCCCAAATATCACATTCACTATCCAAGGGCTTTGCATGGCAGCAATTACGACGGCTGGCCACGTTGACCAGGGCCACTTGCCTGACTTCGCATGTGCATGCACGACGTTGACAAGTGTTACATTAATGTCACCCCACCGGCGTGTAGGGAAGGCAGTGTAGCCAAAACGGCAAATTAGTTGACAAACACGTGACTAGTTAATTACAATAATAATAATCTATGAGCAAGCTCTGACTTCTGTGAAGGTACAAATTGTCTCGTATGCAAAGGTACATTGTACAAGTTGTCTTTACATACAAGAGGTACGAGTTAGCTGTGACTCGGCAAAGGTACGAGTTGGTACACTTATTTTGAGTTGATGGTACAAATTGATCATGGTATGAGTTGTCCAAAGGTACGAGTTGACTTGTTCCCATTTCAAATAGAAAATTGTGAGAAAATGTGACTTTCTTACTGATAAACCAGCCATACAAATTTGACTCCACCATGTGTCATGATCATGTGTTTAAACACCCAGTTTCCCCTCATAATTTCCCTCAAAGTTCAAACTCTGCCCTTTTTTCACAACATCAACCCTACAGTTATTAAGCATGATGTCACAGTCATCTATCTAGGGGAATTTAAAAGTTAAAATGCAGGTCTCTATTCTGTTTATAGGAACGGAGTTCCCAAATTCACATCACAATCCCCATGTACGATGTACATGATGTAGGCCAGCATAGGCAGGCTGCGACGATTTTTTTTTTAGCTTGCCCGATCGGGCAGGCCATTCCATAAATTTGCTTGCCCGAATTAGATCAACACTTGCCCAAGATTTCTCGGAATCCATGATTATTACGGTTATTTAATTTAGGCCTACTGCATGCATGCAGTCTTTTATTAGGCCCCCAAAATAGTTGTGCTTCCAATTACATGCCTCTTAAAAATAGGGTCAGAAGGTTGGAAATTTTCTTGGGGGGGGGCCAATTTGTTTTGTACGAATTGAATGGCATGAGCAGGGAAGACAGCTTCCAAAATTATCTCAAAAAGTGATGAACACCTGTTTTAATCTATGTAAAAATTTTTATATGCGACAATTCACAAGAATAATGGGCAATTCACACAGTGTGACTCAGGCAATCACGACGGCAAACTGGCCAACAATGTATCGCATGGGAAGCGTGCGTGAGGTATCCAGACCAGTGGGCAAAAAACCTTGTGCCGCGGCAGGAAATTTGTTGAAAGATACTCGCTTTAAGTACGAGCAAAACAAACTCAAATTAAACGCATGAACATAGAAAATACACATATAAATAAGAGACCAAGTTCTGTGAAAGAACTTGCAGAAAACCTCTTGCAACATCAATTTTTTTTGACCTGTGGCTTTAGGGTTGCAAGCATGTATGGCTGATCGACCAGAACGTACAATACATGTGTAGACTGGTTCTGGTTGCTACATTTCTTTGCATGGGTGCGGCGCGGTGGGCACGTGTTTTCACCACTGTGACAGTGAAACGTGAATGAGAACTCGTGAAAATAATGGAAGTTTCTTTCCAAAAATGGTAAATGTAACTACAAAAACATACAAAAAAACAAGCATTTCAAAAAGAGAAAAAGTTATTGAAAGATATTTTGTAGAGACAGAAAAGATATCAGCTTTTCTGGACTTGCCCGAATGGGCACACCTAGTTAGAATTTTAATTGCCCGAATGAAAATTTGATTGCCCCGAGCTATTGGAGAGGCGATTCGTCACTGCCTGAGCATAGGCATGATAGGCTGTAGCTGCCGATGAATCATAGGGCCCTATAGACCCATAAACAGGGCCCAACGAATACTCCTCCGTCGTATACTGGGCCCTGTCCCGATTAACAGGGAATTTCTTTTGAAAACTTTATCCGGGACATCCGGGGGCATAACTAAACATCCGGATAATTTTATGAGCTGAAATTGCACCGGTATGTTCACTACTTATGCTGTAAAAAATCTGCTAGGTTGCTAATTGTAGAAAACTTGCCTTTTCCTCGATTGGAGGAAAAAATGTTTGCCTTTTTTGCCGTTTTCCCACTCTGGATGAAGTTTGCCCCGCTTGCACAAAAGTGACGGCTGTTTCGGCATTTTCGTGTCAGAGAGCGAGCCACCTACAAATGATTCACCACAAACAGTGTGTGACTGGACAGGGAACCAGCCAACAGTGTTGCGTATCAGCTGCCACACAAAACAAATTTTCTACGAGTACTTAGATCGACAGGTACTCTCGCAGATCTGAACGAGATACGTAGGTGCTGAAGTCTGGGTGTAATTAGACAGGCTCTCACACAGGGTACCATACAAAGGAGTCTGTGTAATGTACAGTTCAAGTCAGGCGAAAATTCGTACGGAGTGGGAAAACGGCAAAAAAGCCAACAGTTTTTCCTCCACAAGAGGAAAAGGCGAGTTTTATACAATTACCAACCTAGCGGATTTTGTACAGCGTAAGTAGTGAACATACCGGTGCAATTTCAGATCATAAAATTAAGCGGATGTTTAGTTATGCCCCCGGATGTACCGGATAAAGTTTTCGAAAGAAATCTCTATTAATCGGGACAGGGCACAGTATTCGTTGGGCGGCCATGGGCCCTGTTCACGGGTCTAACATGTCTAAGGGGCCTACAGTCGATGAGCATGATGAAAAAGGGAATGCTTTGGTAAACACGAAAAATCTTACATATTGGAAGAGCAGAAACGATGAAAGCATTTCCGTAGAACAAGGCTGAGGATTTTGTGGTGACATTTCGGCTGAAATCTTGGAGCAAAAGCTCCTCTTCCTTCGTTAATTTCTTGCCACCTGCCATGGTGAATTCTGCCACGGAGTCAAGAGAACGTTAGACAGGTACCCCTCCCTACTAACTTCTATAATGTACCTATCAGCGTCAGGGTTTAAGGGATATTACTTGAACTTGTTCGCCACAAGGTGGCGGTATGTCATTTGCGTGCACTGCAAAACACACAGGAATGTGAGTTCTTTCGGGGTGGGGCCACCGTTTCAAAACTTAAGGAGATTTGAAGGTGACAACAACCGTTTTACAACCGATCTGATTGCATCATATATCAGGAAGATATTGATAAGCTCCATGAATGGCCACAAAAAAGAGAAATGCTGCATCATGCATACGGGGAAACAAAAGGAAGAAGATCTTCCGTAGTTATTATCTGAATAATCATTCTTTGGCAACGGTTCCTCCATGAGTGGATCATTAGCAGTATTTGTCACGATTCTTTCTTTCTCACAAATTAAATTAAAAGTCGTAAAAATTTCAAGCTGTACATAGGTTTGTGCACAAACAAGATGCGTCCACAGAGCATCGCTTTGTACATGAGTCATCGCTCTCTAGTCCCTCGACTGGAAATTCCTCACGTACAGGGCTTGTTTGTTGCACCGCAAGCTTGCAGGAGACTCCAGGTTCGACTCAGTGAAACCGTCAAACAGGCCCGCCGTTGTCTGCTGAAACCATTGAGATCAGTGACCGATTAATTGTCAAGTTTTACCGTTAGATCTAGAACGAAGTTCTGTGGGCAAGCGAGTAAGAAGTAAGTGTTATCTTTTCCCTACGGTTCCATGCTTTGAAAGACTTCCAGAAGGTTGCAATATGGTTCCAATGCTTTTGGTGTTTTGTACGTAAGCGATACTACACTGTGTATAGGCCTACACTCTGTGCACTTTCCTGTCTTGGACCTAAATCTTGGTTGGTTTCCGCTTGCTTTCGAGTTTCCCGTTCCTGTGTGGATGTTTTCTACTAGGTCCACTGTTTAAGAAAACAACAACATAATGTTCTTCCCTATTCGCGGAAGCAGGAACAGGTTCCTGACTAGTTGTTTGTTAAAGGTAGGCGCTGTACCCGGGCCGTGTACGTTGACACATCAATACCGCTGTCAGGCCAGACAGTGCGTGCCAGGTTATAGGTGCGCGCAAAGTTCAAAGGCTAGTATGATACAAAATAAGTACCAACCACACGGATATTCACATGCACAGGAAGTAAATGTTTTGGAAGACATTTTGCGAGCCGACATGTGTTGGGTGGTGTATTGACGAAGTTTTCCTTGTCTCTTAGATTCTGTCACCTTAAAAACCAAAATATGCCCAGGATTGAGTTTCTCATTTGATGCTTCTGGCAGTTTGATTCCGTGACCGCGCTGGTATCCTTCCCAATAATATTATCTTTACACCAAGGATTCCTCAAAGGCGCCCAAGGCACTGTCGCTCGCAAGCTTGAAGAAACATACGGTGGCAACACTGACAGTTTTAGAGCTGGGACGAAAACCCTAGAGGAATATTCTGGATAAAACCCACAAAATCAGGTAAATCCAATCCACTTGTGGAATCGAACCCCGGGGACAGTAGAGGCGAAAGGCGAGGAAAGAACCACTAGGGGGCCTATGCCAACCGACTCACTGAAACAATTCAGTCCTCTAAACGATTCATAAATATGCGCTAATGACGTCGATTAAACCATCGGGCGTCAAAGTAATAGGGGGTGATCCCTCGGAGTCAACTTTTGGTCAGGTTTGACCGGAAAGGCAGAAGAACTCAGAGGAAAGCGGGTCTCAGTATCTCTGTAAACAGCGTAAAAATCAAAATCTTTAGAGTAGGCCTACTGCAGTGAGGAAGCCTGTTGGGACGACATCAAGCAGTCAACAGGACTTCCTAGACACCAAAAGATCATGCGGTAAATTATACTTAATTGATAATAAAATGACAAACTTTCTTGCATCGAATTCGGCAGCTTCTTCAAATTATCCTGCTGGCCATTTTCTATTCTGCATCTCTGAGCATTTGCATAGTCATCTATACACTTTCGACTGAATTACATGGACAGAACCATTCGCGTTGCGTCACTTCGTAAACTGCGGTGGTCATGGGATGAGACTTGCTGCACTCTGAACAAAATTTATGAGAGCGCATGGTGCGTGCTGCATTTGGGCAAAGAAGGCGCGTCCGCTGCGTGGCAACTTGAATTTGGCTGCTACGAAAAATGCCAGGACGACTTTACTGACGGAGGCAGATGACGGGTTAGTTGTGACAACGCCCTCGCGGTGGCGGGGTCGTAAATCAAACAGAGGGCAAGTTCTTGGAACCTACGCCAACATCGCATTGCAGTTTGTTTTTCTGTTTCTTCGTCCTCCTCCTTTTTCTTCTGTTTTGGAAGGGGTGGGGTGAACCCCTCTCAACCCCCTGAGTACGTCAGTGACGTTTGTGCTACCCTGACTCTAAGAACACAAAATGTTTGCCCATTTTTACAGGCAGTTCAGTGCAGCTGGAGTATAACACGTAAGGAGTGCCTTTATTAACGCTGATCCTGAGCAACCAACGATGGGTACGTACGATAATTTTCACGCGTGGTTATACAAAACAAGTGCGAGCACAGGATACGATTTTTATCCATACCATACCTCATATTTGCCCAACCAGTTCCTTTTCATATTATTTCATAATTGACAATATTGACCAAGCCCTGCTTGGGGCTTCGTTCCCATGGATACGATCTTGCCGTGCCGTGTTGGTTCCCACCATGCCTTGCGCGATCTAGTGATGGAAGGCGCACACAGCCCATGGAGTCAAGGTTGATGCGAGGGCGCCTTTGCTTGCAGGGACGGTCTTTACTTTTAGCCTTCTTGTCAAGAAAACGCGCACGGCAGAGTGCTGATGCATTAAGGCGACCTTTAATGGCGCCTTTGCCGATGCGCGCCAACACTTGCAACGAGTGTTGCGTATCCGTCAAATTCGCCACCGGGGAGATTTTGATGGCCGAACGCAACGCACACTGTGATATGTTCATGTAGTCAACTTTTGCGTCCGTGATAGTGAAACGGATGAACGCATCGTGTACGAAACGTACCAGAAAATCGTACATAATGTGGAAAGGCGCCTTAAGGTGTCGTGGTCCGTACGCGTAAGTTGCACATACCCAACACGCAGTAAACAATTGCACACACGTTATGCCCCCCCCCAATGCCGACGTCGGTTCTTTCCTTTAAGAGAGATACTAAATCATTTAAACGAATTCATTTTGTGGGATTTTTTAACACTGGCGGCAACATGATTGGCTGAGGGAAATTCGATGCACAGCTCACCACACATAACTTCGCCATATCAGTTATTTGCGATTGATCCCCGTTGGAAACACGTTGCAGAAGGTGAACGTTCTCTTCTCTTGCGACTTTGTTCCAACTGATGAAGATTGGCTTTATTGCCGACTGACTGTCATACCGATGATTATTATAGTTAGAAGAAGGTCAATCGCCGACTGCCCTGCGAGGTTGACTCGCAAGTTTTTGAAGATAAAACTTACTGTTTGTTACCCTCACTGTGTATTTAGTACGATGTGTCAAATAAATACCAACCTCTTCTTTCCAGGGGGGTTTGACGATGTGTACTTGATGTGGCTGGCCGGGCAAATTACTCCAAAGGAGAGGGTTCCCTTGGGCTTGCTACTGGGCTTCAACAATGCCGATCTGGGTCGCTATGAGGCCGATTATCAAAGAGACGTGAAGCTGCAGATATATCATATGCTGGTCGACTGGCGTAACGGGATGGAGGGGGGCGACTCGGCCAAAGTGGAGCAGCTAGGCAAGGTCCTAGTTCAAGTTGGACGCACTGACTTGAACAAAATACTGCTCAGTGATTTTGGTCATGGCATTTAAAAAAAGGCTGTAGGGGTTGGTTTTTTTTTTCATTCGTAAAAAAGTGCTCCCCAAAAGAAAGGTGATAAGTGCCATTTCGAGAAAAAAGCTTGTGGTTTCAATTATGAAAGGAAAAAAGAAACTTACAATATATTTTAGCCCCCTCCCGATACACTGTTGCTGAGGTATATAGTTGGAATGCCCATTTCTGTCCAATGCAACGATGGTTTTGAATACTGCACGGAAGCCGTGCACTATTATTGTATTATTAAGTATTTTTGACTCTGTATGCTACAAATTGGAAGGACATTTTGCCGTAGATTTGTTCGACCACAGAAAAACAAGATGAATTTTATATACATGTTTATGCACTCAGATATATATGATCAAATGTTTACTTTCATTCTTGTTAAAAGCAGAATTATTGTGACAAAGAATGTCACGTATATTAACATTCCTCCCCTGAATCGTCTATCCAAAGTAGAAATATTTGCCTGTCTTATACCGGGTTTGCCAAATTGCCAGTTTTAGAAATGTTCACAAAGATGGTTTAAAACCTGTGTTTGTAAAAACCACCATAAAGCCATCCGAAAGAATCGTTCAGTGCGGATTAATACTGGGAATGGTGATTGATAATGACTTCGACCATTGTACTTATTAAAAATATACACTTTAAAAACTTTTCTTGGTTTTTTTTTCCAGTGACCTTAAATATACAAAATAATAATAATTGCTTAACACCAACACAATTCGAAGTTCTGCTTCTTTGATCTTTTCACAACTTTTTGGGAATGAAATAACAATTTTTCTCTGGGAGGGTGCTACGACCGACTTCACAAATGGCACGTGCATGGGGCTGACATGGGAGAGACGTTGCAAGATGGTGAAGGAAGCTGCAGCCAATTGCGAAATTGTGTTTTATGCAAAACACAATTTGTGAGTTTTTTTATTTGTTGCTTGCAGCGTGGACAACGCGTAAGTGCTCTCTGAAACTGTATGTTTCCAGCAGCCCAATACGGGCGTTTCACAACAGAGCGGCTCCAGGAGGTTGCAACGCATTGACCAATCACAATGCGTTTGCAAAGGGTTGATAGATCTTGGAGGCCCGCTATTGTGAATCGCCTGTATTTCTCTAAATCACCAGTCGGTTTAAAAGATCAGTAGTTCTTTTTCGTGTGAAATTTCAGCAAAATTAATGTCCTTCATCTGAATTTCAGTTTCACAAGAAGGCATTCCTTTTCATCTTGTGAACGTTCTATTACACATTGTAATAGGCTGCTAAATATGTTAATAGTGCATTCAACTCCGCAAAATTGTCGTATTCGAAGAGTTCGGGGAAACTGTTTCGCACATGCGCAAACAAAAATAACTCAGATTTATTCCAAGTACAAGACAGAATTCCAACGAAGAGACTTGCCATCCTATAAATTCGCAATAAGTTGCTACACAGTTCTACAGGGTGTCCCGGAAAAACCAAACCCAAAGGAAAGGGGTTAATATGCCCAAATCATAATATATTATTATAATGCATAAGGATCTCCGAAAAGTCGAAGCAGTATTCTTTCTAATGATACCTTGATGGTATCCCTCCTGGCATGCATGACTGAACACCATTGTCTTGAAAATGGGACATCCGAACTCAGTTGTAACACCCTGAAGTTTTCTTTCGACATTAGCTTCAAATGAACCCGAACAATGGCTGCACACGGACACTACTAAACTACTCCCAGAGTTGGCAGAAACTCAAAATAAAAGGTTTTTGTCTTCCTTTGTTTGGTTTTCATTTTCACTAGTATTTTTCAGAGTTGTACTGAGTCAATAAATTTGGTGACTCGAGTCAATTCGAGTCAAGTGACTCGAGTTGATTCGATTCCAGTATTTAGCTCGAGTCAATTCGAGTCACCAATATTTTAACACAATACAATGAGTAAAAACAAGAGAGAAATTTACATCTGGGTTTAACACATATGAACATCATAAACCAGCACTGTAGGTCGTTGCAAATATCTTTTTTTTCGCAAAGAAGTTTGTTTTGTTTTGGGGACTCAAATCTTTTTTAGAATTTTCACTCGAGTCAGGTTTTCAGATGAGGGAGTCGAGTCGAGAAATTTGCTCGCAGTGAAACGAGTCGAGTCATTTACCCTTCGGGACCTGAGTCAAGTCCAGTCGCCAAAAATTAATTGTGACTCGAGTCGGACTCGAGTCGAGTCATTGGCTCGAGCCATTACAACTCTGTTATTTTGCCTCACATCAGAGTGGTAACGAGTGACTCCTTGAGTCGACTCGAGTCACTATAACGTATATTAACTCACTCAAGTCAAGTCTTTGGGCAAATAAGTCGGTTCGAGCCCAGCAGGGCGTTACCTTTGAGTCGTACATTTCTTGGATTAAGATTGAATAGGCTTTACTCCTGCCAAAGGGGTCCAACTCATAACTTAAAAGTTCTGTACTTGTCAAGGTTGTCACGGTGTCGTGATTTTGTGCGGCTGATGTTTTCATGTATCCGAGACAGTGTATGTTAGTTTGCACAGAACTGTCTGTTTTAGAGCTCTCTGAGTGAGTTTCTCACCCTGAGCTGCCACGCAGGCATGACACTAGAGAATTGCAGGTGGTTGACAAGAACTGAGCATCCCACCCAAACACAAAGTCTGCAGTGTCAAGAAAAAGAGACCGGGACTGTCAAGGGAGAGCGGGACCATCAAGGGAGGCCAAGGACCGTCGAGGGGGACCAGGACTGAGACGGAGGACCAGGAACGAACGTCCAGCCTGCAGGTCTTCACCAGAGACTGACTTCTTGAGATCTCGCCACCAGTGAAAGTTGACAACCTCGCCCCTTCAAAGACTGCCGCAAGTATACTGTAGACCCTCGCGTCACCCAGTAAGACCTGCTATTGATGTCGACTGTCCCTACGGTTTCGTGAGACTTGGCCTTTCGTTATTATTTAATCACTGGCATCTTCAGAAGTATTGAAATTTCTCTATATGCTGACATTGGTAGCTATTTGATTACGATTTCAAGTAATAAAACTGTGAATGGCTGGGTACTTGAATCTTGAGTGGAGACATTCACCTTAGAGTCCAAAAGGAGGCGATTAAAACATTGGTTTCTGCAATTTGGAGCTGAACCGCGGGTTACATAAATATTGAGCCTCATCGATGCATCACACATACTTACCACTAAAACGAAATAATCGTTTTCACATTTCTAGTACAACCGTGTAGTATTTGATATAGTTACCAATCCTGTTCCACGGATCAGCGTCAAAAATACACACACTGTACTGTTTTTAAAGTCTAAATTCCTGTGAATTGTCCATAACTCTTCTTATAGAATGAGGGAATTACAATCTAGATAGTTTTCTCTTGTTGCCAGCGAACCAAGGTCACTGGTATGGTGCCCAATTTTTGACACACATCTTTTCATCTCATCAACACGCGACAATTAAGTTAGCACTGTACGACGGATCTGCTGCGGCGTTCTGTCCTGTGACGCAGGGCCGGATCCGTAAAATTTTTAGTTTATATCCCCCCCCCCTCTTTTGGAAAATTCCTGTTACGTGACGTGTTGGACATGAATTGAATTGTGTTAAATAGGGCACCAAATCAGATTCCAGTGCAGATCAAACTCACCTTCCTGTAAAAAAAAGTACAATAAATATGTGGCACAAAGCAGCTTCCTTTGATTCTGGCGACGTAGCGGTTTTTTTTTCGTGATTCTGGAGGGAAACTGAAAGCCAGGAGACCTAACAATCACACTTCCCGTCATATATTGCATGAACCAGACTGTCTTGCTTTTCACGACCAACGGAAATACCACACCACTCCACCCGACCCCACAACACTTCACCCCTATTGTTTCAGAGTTACACCGTTCTATCTTCAACGTGGCTGTGTCACAAAATGGTACAGCCTACAGTACTTTTCAGTTTGCATTCCTCACTACTGTCAATGAATCTTTTTATAGAAATTTGGGAATTACCGGCTGGGTGTTTTTCTTTATGTTGCCTGTGATGTTTCTATGAACAAAGGTCACCGATGTCGTGACACAGCGACATGCACTCAACAGCCCGTCCGTGCCATCCCATCGCGTGGTACACTGAGGCAAGAATAGGGTGAGTAAAATACGAATAATCTTAGCCGATTCCAGAATACAGGACCAACATATGATAAATGAACAAGTAAACGATGTACAGGACTGACTTTATAGATTGAGGTCTTGGTTGGAGACAGGAAAACCCAACTGCTTTTGCCTGGAAGCGCGCACACTATACAATGTACTGTACATGTACACTGATTCTGATGATGTGTTTCGTCGATTCATAACAGCAACTAGAGGGAGGCATCATGAGCGGTGGCGGAGGTCCGGGTACTAACTCTCAACAACCCAAGGGTAAGTGATTTGTTACTTGGATCTTCAACAAGGGTGAATTACACTTATTAAAGTGGTGCTTTCTGGTAAGCTTAGAGTGAAAAGCGCTCTGACCGTTTGAAACAGAGATTGTTTGATCGAAAAAAATTGTGTGAGTGTGTAAATGTAGCTGAGGATCAACTCCCTGGTGTGAGATACTTCCGCCTTGATAAAAATACGGTTGATAAATGGTCGCAAGGGCCCCAGAAATAAGAGGGATGCCATTTGAAAAATGTGCAAGGTTAATGGGAGCTTTCACTTTCCACAGGGTGAATTTATTTTGTGTGAATAATTAAAAATGTACTTGGCTAACCCACCTCAAATTGAAAAGAAATGGAAAAATGAAAGGCAAGACAATTTAATAATTTTTATAATTTTTGTTTCACAAAATCCTCTAGCATGTCGGCTTGAATTTCATTTGGGACAGAACTTTGTTGATTTGACGCTGTTTTCAATGGGATTGGATTTATGTGCACTCAATGCGGGACCACGGCGGTACAGAAGAAGATTAATTTGGGGAAATCGAACAATTATTGACCGGTTGGGCTATAGTCATTTTGTATGTTCTCATTATGTATGGTATTTGTATTATTTTATTTGTATGCTTTATAACTGTATGTGTATTATTATAAAAACTGTTTCTCTGCAGAGGATCTGGACAACTCGTACCTCTTTTGGCTAGCTGGGAATGTTACACCAAAGCAAAGGTTTTCCTTGGGCCTAAAACTGCACTTCAGCCCTGCCGAGATCGCGGTTTTTGAGGAGGATTATCGCGGAGACACCAAGAGACAGATTTTTGAGATGCTGGTCAGGTGGCACAACCGACAGGAGGGAGACGAGCTGTCCAAAGTTAGGCTACTCGGTCAGGCTCTGGCCGATGATGAGGTTGGACGCGCTGATCTGAAGAAAATCTTGTACAAAGATTATCATGTCGAAATGGGTCGGTAAAGGGGAGAATTACCCACTGTTTTGCCAAGTCAAATGCGTTGTTCTTCAGGTGGAGTCAATTCGAATAATTGAAAATTCGAATATTCGACAATCGATTCAATCAAATATTTCTGTATTCCTGCAAACTTAGATACAAAATATGCACACTCTTACCAAAAGTAAAAACGAAAACTTGAAAAAAAATTTGAAGAAAAAGTAATTTTGGGCTTATTAAGCAATTCTAGCAGCATATTATTGTTAAGTGTTGTGAGCTAACCAAAAAGCAGCTGAATGGTCATGACCAAGATTAGACCCAATTATACTTTTCCTTCAAATGAAATACAATTGAATGTGATTACTTGATTTCTCCCTTTTTTATTTCATTGATTTTTCATCTTCGAATGGTCAGTTAGAATTTTGGAATATATAGGAATATTCTATAAGTGGTCATATTTTCGAATACTCTTCTATCGGCACAATTCCAAGTTATTCTCTGGCGGAAAAAGAGGTACGAGACGGTGGTTTGATTGATTCTCTAACCTCAATGATTAACAGATCTCTTACTTCAGATTAAGTTCCCATTGGCATGAAGACGGCTAAAGTTACCCCGCTATTTAATGCATGTGACCCATTGGAGGTAGGCAATACTGTCCTATCTCTATTCTCTCAGCTTTGAGTAAAATCCTCGAACGTGCTGTCTTTGACCAACTTTTTGAATTTATGAATGACAAGTAGCTGTTACATCCAAATCAGTCCGGTTTTAGGCCTCAGTACTCAACAATGACAATTTGACGAAAATGGTCACACACTGGAGTCAAAACATTGATGCTGGCTTGCTGACCGGTGTGGCATTTATCGATCTCCTTAAGGCATTTGACACCATAGAGTACTCGACTCTTCTTGCCAAACTAAAATCGCTGGGCTGCTGCACCAGTACATTAAACTGATTTGCAAGTTTTCTTTCGGGACGTGTCCATCAACGAGACTTTCTCTACATCTCAGAATGTTGTCAATGGTGTCTCCAAGGCACTGTATTGGGTCTTTTGTTATTTTCGATCTATATGAATTTTATGCCCTCATCGGTAAGCAAAAGTAACGCGGATGTATGCTGATGATATATGTGACCCATTCTGTGAAAATGAGTCTTAAGTCACCAGAGCCATTTTCTGAGTTTTCATTTGTATTGGAAAGAGGAAGTGAGTTTTTTGTTTTGATGTATCACTCAGTTTGGCATCCTGATGAAAGTGGATACTCAATGGTAAAAAATGCTGTGGGTTCCTACTGATTTACACTGTGAAAATTATTCTAAAGCACTTTTTTACTCCAAAGTGGCTCTGGCAACTTAAGACTCATTTTTACAGAGTGGGTCACACATACACTGTTAGTTACCGGTAAAAGCAGTACAGATGTTGAGCATTTAACACGCGCACTTGCTGAGATCTCACGGTGGTTGAATGCAAATCGCCTGGTCATGAACTATGACAAAACCTAGGTGATGATTGTAGGGTCTAAAACTGCAGAAACTTTCTGGAAGGAAAATATTGAGCAGACGATATGACTCCCTATCCCATGAAATCTTTGAAACGCTGGGATAGATGCCCATACAAAAACTATTCTCCTATTTGAGATCCGTATCTGTGTATCAAATAACTCACGGTCTTACCCCCCTCGTATTTAACTGATCTTGTCAACAAAATCTGCAATATTCATCACTTTCCCACTTGGCATTCCACTGACGACAAACTATTCATTCCAGTCTGTAAAACTGATAGCTTGAAGCATGGTCTTCTCACTACTGCAGCTATGGTCAGGAACAGCGTTAGCTGCGACATACGCTCGGCTCAATCCCCCAATCCCCCAGAGTTTGAAATCACTTTTGAAAGCTCACCAGACCAGTTCTTAGCTTTTGTTTTTAACGTCATTTATACATTATCCTTGTCCGCAGGTTATGACTTCCCTGAAAATATCATGTCATACGGTACATTTTAAATTCTCAATTATTTTTCAGGTGAATTCTTTAATTTTATCTTATCACAGTTTTTACTTAATGTTTTTATATTACACTTTGACTTGTGTTTACACTACTTTTTAAAACTTGGTGTGTCTTACTTATTTCTCTATATATCTTAGTATGCATTTTGTGTGTTTCTTTAAAACTTGGTATGTCTTATCTTATTTGTGTTTTTGTGATTATTTTAAAACATGGCTTATCAAAAAATTAATTTTTTTATATCTTAATTTACGTTTTGTGTGATATTTTAAACTTATTTTTGTTCATTCTGTCAATGTTTTGTTATTTTATAACCACTATATTAATGTTTGTGCTTATTGTTTGACAGTTGTGGTTTTTTCTTTCTTTCTAAGTACCTGAAATTATAGTTTAAATTTCATATTTCAATTGTTCATCTGCACCCCAGGACCCCGGGGAAGGCCACGAGAATATCGTGAATCGGATTAATTTACCCAGATTACAAGAATGTAATATTTTTACAGAATCTGAATGATTAACTTTTCACTTTTAAGTTATTTTTGAAGCTGGTGCACTAGTAGCAATTAGGCTAGAGGTTGGCAATACTCCACCGAACTGCTTCTGATTGTAGATGTATAATACTTATCGCATTATGTACACATAGGCTTTTAGTAGTTTACGTTTTGGTTCAAAAGGAGAATGAAATCAGTCAGTCGGTTGGTCGTCCGGTCGATGGGTCAGTCAGTAAATCCAATTATTTATTATCAATTTATCCACTATCCCGTGTCGAACTGTATATCCACTGATATCTGGGTATTTTTTTATACATGGCCTATTTTTTAAAAATAATTTACAGCGCTATTGATATTATACATCATTATATAATTTCGGCCTATTACAGGTCCATTAGTCAATTCAATATGATCATCCAGTTAACTAGGGAAATTTGTGTCCGTCAATTTGTGTAATTGGCAAGGAGATAAATCCTTTAACTGCAGCTTTAAGCGAACGCACCACATAAGCATTTCACACCCCTCACCTAACATTAAAATTTAGAATCTATTTGACTTTTTTATATATATATTTGGAAAAATTAAAACGTCTTGGCTGTTAAAAATCGGGTTTTTTTATATAAAATAAATTGTGTCCCAGATCAGTGGGGACACAGTAATACTCTGTACGTGTGAGGACGTCTTGGACATCCGAAAAATCGATGGTGAAGCTTGAATGAGAAGACTGTTGCCAGACCCTGCACGGAATACTCTTATACGAGTTGGTAATGAAAGGATGCTTGACTCCTATCATACGCCTGTCACGGTGCCCGTTGACCCCCCCTCATTCGCCCTTGTCTTTACTCGGTAGTATATACTAGTTCAACTTGACCTCCAAAGGGCTGGTCCATACGCAAAAAACGCCGACTTCCACCCCCTCCCCTTAGGGCATACACAATCCCATCCTCCACCTGTCTTGATGTGCGCATACCCCTTCTGTGGTTCTATATACCGGTAGCCCTAGTACTGACAAGGTCTTAATAATCAAATGGTCGGTTGAAAGATGCTGTGATATCATCGAATGTGTAGTGTGAAAGTGATCTATGGTGATTTTCGATATATAAAAAGTTGTCTTGATAGGTGTTCATATGTGAAAGTACGTTCATTTCCACAATTTGTTCAAAGTTTGCACGCTGCGTATGTTATTTAGCCTAATTGTCCCCCGACGCAAAGATGTACGCATCGTGAATTACTATCCCCAGTGTGAATAGACCTACCTACTTTATGAACGGCCCCAGGGGTCTCCCCCACAAGAAAAAAATTTTAAAAAAGTACTAGTCTATATTTCTGTTGAACTTACCGATGCACTGGCACTGTGATGCCGATCAACGTTTGTAAATGAAACCAATACCAAGCTCTAATTACAAGTTTCCATTTCTGCAGTCATGTAGCGCACGATGTAACTTGATAATTTCACTGTGGTGCAGAGAAATTAAATTACAGAAACTACTCACGCATGTCAATAATGGATTCTCAAAGAGAGTTTTTGTTCGATATGGCTGAAAGGAACCGTGGTTCACAAGCTCGTTAAAATGAAGGCGAAGTTAAGCGCATGTTTGTTTGCAGTGTCAGTTTTCCCAGGGTGTGTCGTATGACCTGTTACCCCTCAACACTTTATGATGACAATTGCCAATCATTTACAAAGTTCGCTTCTGTGTGGAATTCACGCGTGAAGTGGTTTATGAAATGGTCCTGCGTTCCACCACAATTTCATGGAATCTTGTGCTATTGGATTTTTTCACAATTGGACGCAATCTAAAACGTAAATTTGTTGGATAGTAAATGTGGCGGTCGACCTATCAATATATCCAGCAAGAAATGAGACCGAGGGGTAACCCCCACATGTCCAATCACCATACACACCAAGCCAAATCTGCTTGCATTTACAAAGTGAAATAATGACAACAATTTTCAGTAAAACCGTAAAGCCAATATACACAATATGTACAATATATAAGAGACAAATAAAAAGGTGTCTCTGGAAAAAATTCGGCTCCCCCAAGAACTCATCTGTGCCACGCTCCATATTTTTTTTGAAAAATGCATCTCAAAACACTTAGTTTATTGTTACAAACATGAAATTTCAACTCAATCAGAGACACTTTACTTTTGTAAATACGGCAATGTAAAGTTCAGGGTTACATGCAAGCCAGCCCCACGAGCATTGACAGCCGCGTGAGAAAGTATATACTTTGGCTCATCTGGCTCGAAAATCGCCTTGCGCAAGACAGGTATGCTCGATTTTTTAATACAAAGTATATATCAAATACCGTCAAGAGTTACTCTACAAACTCTTAAAGGCTCAACTCCTCATAAAAATGCACTGCGACGACTTGCAAATTTGACTTTTAAAGGTGCCAAGGTATATTTTATTTTCCACTAAACTATAGAGCATAAGGCGTTGTTTGATAGTACACAGAAGAATTCATTGCAACAACACTTTAAGGTGAAGACCAACAATTATTTGAAGCATGCTCTTGATTCAGAAATCCTTTCCACTAAACTATTTTTTTGCTTAAGCATCTATTAATATGTAGGGCGCATGCCTATTGTGACGTGACCGTTTTGCAGATATCTTTGAAATGACCGACTAACCTTGTTTGAAAGAACGCCACAATATTGGACAGCAAAGATTTAACTTGTTCATTTCATTCGCTATTCAAATCCCTATCCAATCACATACAAATACCAACACCATGACAGGCCATATTCTGACAAAGGTCACTGGCGCTGTTCGTGTTTGCTACCCATTGCTGAACTGAGTTCACACGATCACGTTTGGACAAAACGGCCCGATTTTGACACCAAAAATGCACCGAGCAATGACACACTGAAGCTGGGTGTAAATACGACCGTGACGGAACTATTTGAATATCTTCATTGCACGACCACTCCTGGGTTTATGCGTCCACTGTTTTTGAACCTTCTTTTTCTTCGATTAACAAAATGTAAGCCTCAAAAAGATACATTGTCATATTAATTAATCTAAACTGCTACACCCGCTGACCCAATAAACCTACGTTTATGCGAAAGTAGTTACCATGCTTTTCCAAATTCCGATTGCCGTGTAGTAGTTTGCCGTAAAAACATTTTTACCGACACCGTATCGATAAGGCATTTTTATTTAGTCATCTTACAGCAGTACACCTCGTTCTTTGGTGCCGGCCTCGGGGTGTTGGGGAAGTTGTTGTTGTAGCACTCGCCGGGTGTGTGCAGGTATTGCCCGCACACCGTGAGGCGCGCGTCCCTCGATTCGTCATTGATGAGGCCCCAGCGATAGTCTCTCGCGCCCAACTGGTAGAGCTCGTCCAGCTGAGCCAGACTGCACAGGCTGGCGTGCAGTCCACAGCAATAACTCCATCCTTCGTCGTAAGAGAGGGCTTTTGGGGACAAGCAAACCCCATACAAGCCTTCGTCTGTGAATAAATGAAAACAGGAAAGAGAAAAACAACTGAAAAAAGCTGGCTGAGTATTTACGCTGCATGGTAATCATTTAGCTGAAGCAAGTATGGTTGTTTGGAAGTCTACGCCATTTTTCTTAAGGCATGGCATTTTAGGGCAGCATTCTAATTAAAAACCGCCAAAATGATTTGCTTGCTTTGTACGTTGAACTTCATAGGAGTAATGCCCACATTGGTTCCTGGTTATAGTTCAGATGGTCACATTGTCTCGGCCATTCATAGATAGGGAATTGATGGGGGGGGTACTTGGGTACTTATTCTAGGCTGACAACTCGAGGGGCGTACCTTTTTCAAACCATTGGGGACAGGTTGGTATCGCTGTAGTCGTCGTAAACATCAAGGCGAAAATCGCAAAGAGAGCGGTGATCGGCTTCATCTAATAGATAGAAAAAACTAATTAATGAACAAGAAAACCATGCAAAGCCGTTCAGAATGGCCAAGACTCGTTACAAAAATATCAACTCCATCATTACTTGCCCCACATGAACCTGTAAAATTACGTAAAGGCAGACAATCGTAACATGAACTTTTTTTAAAAGAAAAGCAATGCTTCAAACAGTAAGCACTCTTATAGACCGATCCTCGCGACTTGTGGTAAGTTTGTACTAAGCACTGAATCTTTATACTTGCTTACTGATTTCGAGCGACAAGTTAGATGCACTGCAAGAGCATGAATCGAACGGGTCATCATTTACTAATGGCATCGCACTAGCTTGGAAGTGGCCAGACGCTATCAGCATTTGTTTATTAAAAAAACAACGAAAAATAACGTCTCAACACTCTGGAAAGTGCTATAAACGACATTGATTTGCATGGTCATAGACTGGGCTTACTTACCTCGAATATTGGTTTAGAATGCCAACAGTAACGACTTCTCTCTATCCTATGGCCTCTGGAAGGTGGCAGATCGGCACAGACTAGATAGACCAACCACGGTCAGTCCTTATATAGTGCCCCTCCCTATATAACTTCGTCAGAGTTGCCGGATTATTTTCCGCTGACGTTGTGACTCGTGTCCTGACCTTGAAACGTTCCAAGTCCGATGTTACGCATGAACGCCAGTTCGAATATTTTAGGCATGGCTTTTAAAGGGAACACAATATGCCTTGAGTTTGTTCAACCAACTGCCATGTCAAACGATAAAGTTTGAGGTCAAGCACAGGCGTTGCTATGGGGGTTGCAATTATTACACACCATACCCCTTATCTAGGTACGTCAATGAATTCATACAGGAGTATTGCGGGTACCTATGGGTGCACCCATGCAAAAAGGCCCAAAACATGTCCGTCGAGCTCATCGATAAAAGTTATACATGTACACTCAAAATATTCTCTATTAGACAGTCCTGAGAGCCATGAAATTGAGGAATTAGAGAAATATGGCACTGAAGCTCTGGCCTGGACTTTGGGCTTCCAATTCTGAGTAAGTTTGGGTGCCATCGGGCCCGAAAGTGGCACTATTTGAAAAAAAAATTGACGTCGAAAAAAAAACGTCAGAATTTGAAAAAAAGAGTTTGGTTTTTTTAGTGGAACAATTTGTGTTCAAGATACTTTCTAACAACACAATAACAACCGTGTCCTTTGGCGCATGTGCAATTTTCAGCTATGATCCAGTATGGGCCCCAAGCTGGACCAAGAGAGGGCGCGAATGTCTTAGCAACAGAAGCTCATCTGGTAGTCACTGCCCATTGCTGGTTCACAAACGACTATATAACGCTACACTTGCATCAAGTCCTTAGTGTTTGTCGTCGATCCGCTGCGTCATTTTATTATATGCCATACCGATTCTGCCCTTGCTCGTGGGCTATTCAGTACCGGGTGTCGGCGCATGTCAGCCCAAGACCCCTGTGCCCACCTACCGACTTGATCAACCTGATTCTGAATAGATATCA